TGTTATGTAAACGTACCTACACAGATGGTCCCTGACTTACAATGGGTAAAAAAAAAATTTTTTTTGCACATTTTGCTCATGCACATTAGGATGGTGCATAAGCAATATGCATTCAGTAGAAACTGTGCTTCATATTTTGAATTTTGAATTTTGACCTTTTCCCAGGCTAGCAATATGCTGTAAGATGCCTTCTTGAGGTGCTGGACGAGGGCAGCAGGCCGCCCCTCTCGGTCAGCCATGTGATCACAGAGGAAACAACCGATACACTTACAGCGATTCCGTACTCACACAACCACGTTGTTTTTCACCTTCAGGACAGTATTCATTATATGAATATTCAATGTTTTCTTATAAAATAGGCTTTGTGTTAGATTCCTTTGCCAACTGTAAGCTAATGTAAGTGTTCTGACCACATTTAAGGGTCAGTGATGATGTTCAGCAGATTAGGCAGATTAAATGCATTTTCGACTTAGTATCTTCAACTTATAATGCATTTATCAGGACATAAGCCCATCATATGTGGAGGAAGATCTCTAGTAGATATTTGGGTTTACAGGATTGTGTTTACCAATTTGTAAATACACAGAAAATGTGTTTTATAAAAACAAAGTATTCTCTTGACTTTTTCCAAAGACATATACTCTTTCTTCTCTTTAATATTATAAATTATTGACATATTTGAATTGTATGAAATTTTAGCACCTCTTTGTGGCCGCAAAGAGTTGCTGAAACACAAAAATGATTTTGCACTTGTATTGTAAAATTTAGACAAATCTCTACTCACCAAGCCGAACTGCGTTAGTTCTAATGTATATGTTAGGACTTCCTCGGTAGGACTGCCGGGGCAGCGTGGTACAGCCTAAACCTCAGACTCAGAGAAACTTGGAATTCAAACCCAACTCAACTCCTTATTAATTGGGTACCTCTCTAAGCTTACATGTCACTATCAGCCAGACAGGTGGCCCATGGATTATTGTCGGTTGACAAACGCTCATTAACCTGCTTAGCTGAACCAGTTTCAGGCCCTATGGACCAGTGAATAAAGCAAACTCCCTACGTCCATGGTTTATATTCTAATGGGAGAAGCAGACAACAAAGAAGAAAAAATAAACAAACAAAGCGCTTTCAAATAGTGATAGGTGCTAAGAGGAAAATCAAATAGTAAGATAGGATAAGGGGCAGGAAGAAGCTGGACACTGTATATGGAATGTTCTGGAACACTTCACTGAGCATTGTCTTCTGGGCATGTGACAGTCTGGAGGAAGAGGATCCAAACAGAAGGAACGGCACAGACAGCTGCCCTAAGATGAGGAAAAGCCTGTGTGGATGAGAAACCCGAAGAAGGCCAGTGTGGGTGGAGCGGAGCTGGCGAGTGGGGAGTACGGCAAAGGTTGGAAAAGCAGGTGAAGCGCAGATGCTTTAGGGCTTCCTAAGCCACGGTGAAGAATACGAATTTTAAATGCAATGGAGAGCAGGTGAGTGATATGATTTGATTTACATTTTAAGATCACCCTAACTTCTGTGTAGGGAATGGGTTGTAGCGGGACAGGGGTGGAGGTGGGGAGCTCAGTAGGGAGAGTCATCAGTACCGTGTCGGATGATGGGGAATTTGGACATGGGCGCCACCCCAGAGAAGGAAAAATTGTTTGTTTTGGAAGTAGAGCCAATAGAAACTGCTAGTTTGTTTAATGGGGGTGAACAAAAGGGAAGAATCAAATATGACTCCTATGGTTTGAAGAGTACTAATTATAAAATAGCTATTTCTTACAGCTATTTCAAAAACTGTCTCGTGCAGCTGGGTTATAACCTTATCTCTGGGAACCTATAAAATAAGTCCATTTTTGCCTTCAAATGTTAGAAGATTATTTTTATGTTCCTCCTCATATTTCTCTTAGAAGTCTAAATATGTCAAATGTTTTCAATCACTACTCAACTAAGGTGGGTTTAGGTCTCTTTACTAGCATGGGGGCTCACTTCTAACGACCTTTTATTTTGGTTCTGTTTTTCCATAAACAGCATCACCAACAAAGAATGAAAACGTGGTCTAACCATCAGAGAGCAGAATTTCCTTTTCACCATCCTCATCCTAGACAAATATTGTGACAGGCGCTTTTGTAGTCACTGTCCTTCAGAATTGAATAGGGGAGATAAGATGGGGACTTAGGTTGACTTAAGCTAAGATAAAATGAAGTCCATAAGAAAAATGTAAGTGGTCAAATGGGAGTGAGTTCAGATCTGGAAATGAGAGTCAAGAGTGGCTTTTATGGAGGAATTTGAACAAAAAAATGTGTGTAATGGAAGAGATGCTGCAAGGAGGCAGTGGTAGAAACTGGAGAAAGAAAGTAACAGAGAAAGAAAGCTACAGTGTGAGGGGCACCATGGTCCAGTCTGCTCACACAGGGGGTATGTGGGAACCAGTGAGCCGCAAAGTCAAAGAGGGCAAGCAGGGCTATGTTGTGGAGGCCATGAATGTCGCAATGAGGAATCAATCCTCAGTTTATCAGACAAAGGGATGACACTGAAGGCTGCAGACATTGTTGTTGATGACTTCAAACCAACCAAGAGAATTTCATTCCAAACGTTATTCTGATAACAGATTTATTTAAGTAAGGAAGATAGAAGGAGCGAACACTGAATTCCATCAGTGGTCCAAAAAGGAAGTACTGAGGGGCTGAGTGTCGGCTCTGGCAAGAAGTGCACAAGGAGACAGGTGGTCCAAAGCCCAGGTGGTCCTCTTGAGCCCAAAGAGGAGTGGAAGGTGCCTGCGTAGGAGATGGCCTGGGGTGGAGAATCAGAAGTCAAGTGGAGTGAGGAGGGCATCCATGCTTGGAGACATCCTGGCGCAGGATGTGAAAGATGCCAAGGGTATGCATGTGAATAAGTGACCCAGCATAGTCAGAGGCCAAGCCAGGTGACAGGACATCCCTCAGAGCAGAAGCCTGATGGTGACTGTGGGAGCCCATGGCGGGTGAGGAGGATGCCTCCATAGGAGGGTGTCAGAGGCCAGGCGGCCAGAGGAACCATCCCTGGGGGCTGTGACCCTACATAGCGAACCCTAAGGCCACACAGGCTGTGAAGAGAGGAGGGCGGATGCTTTAAGATTATTAGTTTATTTGAGGACAACTGGCATCCTTACAAACTAAATTTTTCTATCCAGAAATAGTATTTCTCTACATTTATTAAAATCTTTTACATCTCTCAAAAAAAGCATTATAATATTATTCTCTCATGTTTCTTGTTAAGTTTTCTCTAAGTTCTTAATATTTCTATTGCTATTATGAATGGTATCTTTTTCACAGTGTATTCTGTTTCTTTTTGGTCTGTAAGAAAACCACCAAGTTTAATGCCTACTTCGAATTAATCACCTAAATGAATCTATCAGTCTCTTAGTTCTAATAATTTTCAGTTGATCATCTTGGGTTATAACTGCTTTTTAATTTATTCAAATTAAAGTTGAGCAGTCTGTAAATTCTTTTAATATAAAATCACTGAAACCTTGCCATTTGTGCCAACATGGGTGGTCTTAGACGGTAATATGCTAAATGAAGTAAGACAGACAACCACCATACGATTTCAATTATATGTGGAATCCAAAAAACAAAAACAAAAATGAACAAACAAGCTATCTTTACAAGAAATAGAGTTTGTGAGAAATAGACTCATAAAGAAACACAGAGAACAAACTGGTGGCTGCCACGGATCGTGGCTGATGAGCCAAATGGGTAAAGAGGATAGAGAGGTACAAACTCCTAACTGTAAAATAAATAAGTCCAGGGATGAAAAGTACAGCATAGTAAATGCAGTCAATAATATTGTAATATCTTTGCGTGGTGACAGATGGAAACTACACCGATCATGGTGAGCATTTCATAATGTACGTAATTGTCAAATCACTGTGTTGTACACCTGAAACTAATATAATATTGCATACCAACTATACTTCAATTCTAAAAAATCACTTAAGTCAAATAGGAGGGAAAAGACTAAAAAAAAATTTTTTAATGGTCATTAATTAGTTTAACAAATTATTTTTATTCACTTGTCAAATATTTATTGACCACATATATAACCCATGCCAAGTGACCTGATTTAGATAATTCTGTTTCCTCAACTGCAAAATGTAAATAATCAAAGACCCTATTTAATAATTAAATTAGATAATGCATATAAATTGGTCAGCATTGCACATGTTAAATGCTCAATACATGTAAGTAGTGATGAAACATCCAAGTTGCCCTTCCCAGGGCCAGCAGAACATCGTGAGTGGAGAGAATCCTTTTTTTTAAGCCCTGACTACTGTTTTCTTTTCTCTCCTCTGTTCTGCCGTCTGTAGAATTATTCTAACTTAGGAAAGAAAGAGAGAGAGAGAGAGAGAGAGAAAGGAAAGAAAGAGAAGGAGGGAGGAAGGGAGGGAAGAAGGGAAGGAAGGAAGGAAGGAGGGAGGGAGGGAAGGAGGGAGGGAGGGAGGAGAGAAAGAATGAGAGAGAGAAAGAAAGAAAATCTATGAGAAATTCTTTCTACAATTTACTAATCTCTGAAGCCTTCCATATACAGTAGAGCCTAAGGGAATACTGATGGATTTCAAACAAAACTATAAAACTAAAAAACCCTCAAAATATTCTACTACCATATGAAGGTATTAATAAGTCAGGCTACTTAATAGACAAAACACCGTCATAATGAAATCTGAGATAATTAAACTAAGCTCACTCCTGTAAAATCTTACTGAGCTATATATTAAAGTACGATATGCAATGTTAAATTTATGTCTAGAAATACAATTAAGAATAAATTTTTAAATATTTTTAAAAGAAATATAATTATATTCCCTTCCCAAAAAAGTATGCAACATTCAGATCGTTGCTCTTCAGCTTTACAGAAACTATCCTGCCTTCCTCATTAAGTTGTAAACAAGCAAGCTGCTTTAATTGCCTATTAGTCAAAAGCCCCATTTCTCTAACAAAATGTGAAAATAAGTAATATCTGCCATTTTGACTTACCCACTTCAGCCAAAGTTCGGATACAGGACTCCACCGAGGATTTCTGCGCCGGGTTTGGCCAGGTGCAATTATAAATTCTGAAGGCGGACTGCAGCAGCTGAATGAAAACCGGCTGATGGGTCTGAAAACAACGCGAGCACACAGGCCGCTAAGCCAAGAACGCTCCTGATGCGGCGGCGGTGCGTCACCGAAAGAGCTCATCCAAATAAACTACAATTCAGTCTTCTGCGTTCCGGTGTTATTTAAATGATATCTTACATTCAACGAATATTTATCATGCCCCCACTTCATGACAGGCACCGTGACAGATACTACAGAACGCTGATTATTTGCATTTGTAACTACATTTTAGTCAGAAAAATATGGCATTTCTTAATGCCAACAACATGAATTTTAAGTATTTTTTTAATGATCTCTGTTCACTTCCAAGTATAGACAGAGCAGGTGTTTTGGGCTGGCTGGATGGATTGTGTATTTTGGTTTCATATAATGCACAAGTGGAGAAGACAATAATTTTGACCCACAAAAAATTTCATATTGTTCTATCTAGTAGTTTAAGGGTTTTCCCTAAAGAAAGTATAACTGAGATGATATTTCTGTAAGAGCAATACACACTCGGTACGGAAACCGCAGAAAAGAAAATCACAAATAATCCCATGTAGAAATATGCAGTGTCAACATTTTGAAGATATTTACTTGCAGAGCTTTTCTACAAATGTATGAACATACATTCTTTACACACTCAAAGTTGAATGGCACTATAATGTAAGCACATGGGCTGTTTCATTTAATATTACTTCATGATCCTTTTCCTTAGTTATCACTATTTCTTTTAAAACATTATTTATAATTGCTATGTAATAAACCATCCTACAGACATACCATAATTTATTTCGCTATTCTCCTACTTGTGGACATTTACACTTACCGTCAATTTTTAAACAGCATAAATATTCAACGAGGGAAAATCTTAGTATATAATCTCTGCTAAATCTTTTCAGGATAAATTATTGAATGGAATTCCTGAGTCAAAAGCCTATCCATTGAATGAAGCATGCCATTTATTTCAACTTGGCAAACAGTTCAATATACAGATATGGAAGTCCCTATTATGCTGAGAGAGGGAGCAGGAATAATTTGAAGATGGGGCCTCTTTATTTAAGATAAAGTTTGGTAAACTCAAAAGGGGAAGAAGAGTCATCTTGGGAAGTGTGGGAAGTGCTTTCCCGACCAGATCAAAGTTGTTTCCTACTCAGATAAGGGAAATGAATTTTGATTTCCTTTGCATTACCTGGAGGCTGGTACTGTTGTCTGAAAAAGGAGAATTAAAGAAGCCGCTCACGATGTTCATGATGGACTCGGTGACACACTTCTCCAAGAAGGTGTCCGCGTGTTTCCTGTCTGTGGTCGTATTGCAAACCTGGAGGGGAAGACAAAACAATTCACCACTCTTTATCATGTCTTTGAATTATAGCAATACTGGAACCTTCTAAAAATCATCTGAACCTATTGTTTATAACATTTCTTCTGCTTTTTAAAGTTGCTTTGAACAGAAATGTTTCTGCCTAAAATCCATTAAAATTTTATTCTGCAGTAGCCTCTCCTGTAAGGTTGTTGGCCATGTCATCCTTGGACCAGAGATGCAGTCACAAACCCCAGCCCCCCTGTCCCGCTCTGCCCCCCGAGACGGCTGCACTCCAGCATTCCCCCTCTGTCCCTGAGTTTGGCTTTGCTGGAAAACACTTTCCACTCAGTGTGAGGGAATCAAAGACGAAGGAGTCCCTGTAAGGATGAGAAAGTGGAGAGTGTGATGAACGGTGGTTTATGTCTCTACACATGTTCCCTTAGAAAACTTGACCCAAAGTGGAGGGTAGAAACACAGAAAATAGCTGGAGAGGGAAACAGAAAGCTAAAAGGGGATACAACTTTCCCCCAGTTTTGACCTTTTCTACCCACAGACTATCTGGGAAGCATGAAGTGTGTCTTTGTGCACCACCCTCTCAGAGCAGACTAAGCCTAATCGAGAAAGATAATAGGAGAGTTGAGGATAAATCAGAAAAAAAAAAAAAATAGGCATACTTCCTGCTGTGACATTTATATGTGATTAAATGAGGCAGAAATTGGTCATATTGCTAAACAAACTATAAATTTTCAAATATGTCAGGGTAGACAAATTGCAAAGCTAAGATACATGATTAAAAATAAATGAAAAAGTTGAGTGCTGAAAAGACAAGACACATGAAGATGAAAAGAAATATTAGAGGGGGAAGCATAGGGCGTGAGAAAAGACTGAAAAACTGGGGCAGAGTAAGAAAGCGTAAATATTCACAAAATTATGGTGGGTAAATATGGTGACCACATGTTCCAGATGTTCTTAGGCAATCTGAATTTTTTTGTAACTTTTTTCTTTTCAATAAAGTGATTAATCAAAAGAATCAGTAAATATAATTTCATTTGATATGGCTTTAAAACCTTATGCAAATAAATGTACAAAAGAGAAAAAAAAATTCCCTTCTCAAACATGTGTCCCAATCTTTTGGTTTGGAAACTAGCGAGCCATATTTGCCCAATGGGTGTAGAAGAAAGAGCGTAAGGTATGTCTTGCTTCTAAGTCACTTCTCATTTGGGGCAATTCACTGTTTCTTCATCTATTAAATGCTACCTGATGGGGTCTGTATTAAAACTAATCTCAGAGAGTTATTACAGAGAACAGTACAATTAAAGGAAATAAATGATGTCAAATTATGTCATCTTTTAATTATTGTTCCAGCATATAACATGGTGCCTGGCACATACAAGATGTTCAGTAAATGTTTGTGAAATGCATGAATCAATTAATTTTTAAAATGAAAGAGTAAGGAAGGACTCATTTTGTTTAGGTTAACTTTGGGTTAGGCTGTATTTGTGGAGCATCTAACCTGGGTAATACTGACTGTGGTCCCAGAACTAATATAAATTGGTTCTCCCATCATGGTTATGAAGTAGGATTTATGGTTTAGTATCTTCCCAGTGCTGGCTTTTAACAGTGACGTTTTCTGATATATAGGATAAAAATATATTACAGTTATTAGGTAGCTGACCAATTCTACCTTACCCAGCCCAAACAACCTTCCTCAACCATTGACATTTCACACAATTGTGCGGGGCTCTCCAGAGCTAGTAGAGTATCACACTGCATTACCTAAAACTAGACGTTTGCTAAAAAACTAACCTGAAATTGGCTTTAGTCAGTGGATTAATAAAAGTAATCTATTTCTAGATAAAGGCTTCCCTCAAAATCCTTGTTAATAAAAAGTCTGGATTTGCAAAAGCATGTGGAACCTATTCCTCAATTCACTTGGACAAGAAATTTAAATAATTTTTCAAGGTATTTTTTTTCCTCTAGAGCCTTGCATCCTACAGTGTAATCTCAGGGATAGACAAAATATGTAAGATGTAAGAAACTGCTTTTCTTATTAAAATCTTTTAAAATTTTTCTGGAAGAAAAGAATCAAATATAGTATTTCTTTATCTTGTTTTTTATTTATTTTTATTGCCTCTTCCCAATAAGGACTGAAAATGGCTCAAATAAAATTACATTAATCTAACTTAAAATATTTAAATCCAACTCTATAAGAACGAAGTGATTCTCAATTTGTAATGGTCTTTCACAACTTGAAAAACAAGTCTACCACCATTGTCTTTTGCATGAAAAAAAAAAAATCCGTGTGAAATATTTGTCCTTTTCTACTTCTAGCTGAATTTTACTATATATTTGTTAAGTTCCATCGACTATCAATTTAGGGACATAAATTACTAAATTAAAACCAAATATTGGATTAGGAGTCAGAACAGTGAACCAAACAAAACAAAGCCTCTCTCCTCTCTTAGGGTCCTGATTCTAATCAGGCGAGACCCACAGTCGACAAATTAGTAAGTATCCAAGGGGCCAGACAGGAGCAAGTAAGAGACTCTAGAGAACAATGAAGATCGGCTGGTGGAGGGATCACTGCAGGGAGAGCGGCGATGGCCGAGAATCGTGTTCTGTACACACAGCTTGGGGCAGGTCTTTGTATAAGGCAACATCTTAGCAAAGCACTGAAGGAAGTGAGGACACAGCCACGGAGGTCGTTTCTGGGGGGAAGAGCGAGTAAAACCTCTGCCCCACCAACGGAACACATGTCCCCGGACACCAAGAACCAGTCTGACTGGTCCCCGCTCACCACTGCACTCACACCGCCTCAGCACACAGCGGGGATTTAAAATCATTTGTTGGAATATTAAGTGAAATTTCTAAACATAACTGTGTCTGACATTTCCCCCCTTGCATACACGTTATCCCTTCTCTCTGCTGCTCTAAAAGTGACCGTTCTCCTTCCAAAAATGACAGATTGGGTCAAATAAATGATCGTATGAGAGGGCAGCACTGTGCAATGGGACTTCCTGCAATGACGGCAGTCTCCTTCGTCTATGACGTCCCTAATGGTAGCCGTGAGACAGGTGCTTATTGGGCATTTGAAACATGGCTGGGGCTACTGAGGAACTGGATTTTTTTTTTATTTGATTGAATATTACCTAACTCAAATTTAAATTTAAATGTACCGAGTTGCAACCCTAGAGTATAGGGCAGCTCTCATGCCAAAAACATACTTTTGATCATACAGCAGGGAATACGAATGCTAAAAATCATTTCTGTATTCCTCATAGACAATAAAAATGTTCCTCTAAATACTTGAAGTGATAGCCCATAATTATTTTTATTTGCATTCCCGTATTCATGAGGCCTAAACTTCCAAACATTTGCTTTTCAGTATCTCCTTTTTATGTGTCATCTGTTCAGACACTCAATGGCCTTCTTAGAATTCTAAATTCATTTTATAAAGACAACATTTTTCTTAATATCAGTATATATTAATTGTAGGAACCCTGAAAAAAACATAGAAAAATATAAAATGGGAAACACAAACTATTCATAATCCTAAAATCCAGATAAAATCATAGTTAACAGCTTAGAATCTTTTCTTTTAATCTTCTTGCTGTCATATGTATTTTACATAATTGAAATCATTCCAGGTAACCAGTCTGTAGTCTCCTTTTTATCCTGATCACTCAATTATTAGCATCTCTCACATTATTAAAAATCCCCAAAAATAATTTCAGTGATTCTATAACATCAATCTTGTAGGTAAGTCATAATTAATTGAACCATTTCTCTATTATTAAATATTTAAACTATATCCTACAGTATATTATTATAAAAGTATATTGAACTTTTTTGACCATAAGTCCTTGATATCATTTCTAATTATTTCCTCAGGATGGATTCTTGGAAGGTACGTTACTTAACACATTAAAAACGTATGGAGGGTTTTTTTTTAATGTAGAACTAAAGTGCTTCTCTGCATGACAGCATAA